TGGCCAGCCTGGGCAACTTCATGAGACCCTAACTCAAAACTAAAAGAGGTCTATGTATTCAGTTCAGTAGTAACACACTACCTTGGCAGATGTCAGACCCTAGGCACAATCCCTAGCACTGAAAAAAAGGACAAATATTACACATTTTCTCTCACATACAGAATCTATATCTAAATATATATGTTTACACATAGTTAAAGGGGAAGCATGAGTTCTAAGAGGAGAAGGAAGGAATAATGATGACACAGGATTGAATTCTTTTTTCTCGTAGACTCTAGATTCAACAGCATTTATATGTTTATGGACATATACATAACATGGGAACAAATGAAGGATTCTTTAAGGATCACCAGATTAGGGGAGAAATGGGAGAAGGTGGTGGGCAAGTGTATTATGAGCCAGTTACAATAACACATGTATTTGATTATGCTAATTAAAACAAAAAGAAAACTCCAAAAACAGGTTTGAGAACTTCTAGAAAGCTGAATATAGGAAGGTTCCTGAATAGTGGCCCACCTGAACAGGTCAAGGATGCCCCAACCCAATAAGTCCTATTCCTCACTCCAAACATTTCTTCATCAGTATCCTTTGTAGTAACATCTTTAATAAACTGTAACTGTATTTGCCAATTCTGTGGGCCATACTAGCAACTTCTGGATCCAAGGAAGGGTTGTGGGAACCTGATTGATAACTGGTTAACCAGAAATATAGCTAAACAACCTGAGAACTTTACTTTGGCACCTGAAGTGAGAAACAGGTAAACTGTGGGGACTAAGCCCACAACCTATGGGATCGGTACCCTAGGCAGATGATGTAAAAACAATGGACTTAAAGAACTTCCCATTAGTATTAGCTATACTTAGTCTTTATGTGTTCCCACAGGCGTGTGTTCAGGTATTCATGTACTTTCAGTATGGAGTGGGTATAGAGGCCAGTCGATGCTAAAGGTCTTCCTCAACCAGTTTCCACTTGATTTTGGGTGAGGGTAGTTTATTTCATGTATTTGTTGGGAGCAGGCATACCATTGGGCAACTATCAGGGTCCAGGAGATATAACTAAAGTTCTCAGACTGAGTCTCATCAGCATCTCCATCTGTTTTCTTGTTGTTTCTTTGGGGCTTTTGGGGGTTTCTGTTTGTTTGTTTTTTGAGATAGACCTTCTCTGTGTGGCCCTGGTTGTCCTGGAACTTGCTCTGTAGACAAGGCTGACCTTGTACTCATAGAGATAAGCAAGGGCTGGGATTAAGCTTGTACCACCCCTCCCCATCGGGCCTGTTGTTTTTTATGTTTATCTCAGGCTGGCTTGAAACTTATAGAGCCTCCTGTCTCAGGACCTAGGCTACAGGTATGCATCTTTTGAAGCAGGGCTTCACATAGCCCAACACTATGGAGACAAGGTAGCCTTGAATTTCTGAGGCTTTTGCTTTCATCTCCCCAGTGCTGTGGTTTACAGGTGTGCCACCAAGTCTGCCTTGCTTGGAAGGTTTTGTTTTGTCTTAAACTACTATGTGTATCACATACGTGGTGCCCTTCAGAAATCAGGAGAGACTATGGGTCACCTGGAAGAGGAATTATGGTTGTTTGTGACCCATCATTTAGGTGCTGGGAACCAAACTTGGTCTCCTGCAAGGACAAGTGCTCTTAACTTCTGAACCTCTCTCTAGCCCCTTGGCTTTTGTTTATTAAGACATGTTTTCTTCTGTAGCTCAGGATCACACACAGCTTGCTGTGGAGGTCAGGCTTGAGGTTGGTTGTGGGATTTCTGTTGCTTAGATTATTATTTTTTATTATGTATACAGTGTTCTATTTGCATGTATGCCTGCATGCCAGAAGAGGGCAACAGATCTCATTGCAGATGGTTGTGAACCGCCATGTGGTTGCTGGGAATTGAATTCAGGACCTCTGGAGGAAACAGTCAGTGGTCATAACCTCTGAGCCATGTCTCCCACTTAAATTATTTTTAATTTATACATTAACTTTATGCAATTTTGCCTGGGCCTATGTATGTGCACCATGTGTGTGCCTGGTGCCCAGGTAGATGAAAAATAAATGTTTGATCTCCAAGAACTGAAGCTATATATGGTTGTAAACCACCATGTGGGTCCTGGGAACCAAAACCTGATCCTCCAAAAAATATAAATTGTTTTTAGCTGTTGACCCATTTCCTAGGCATTATTTTTGTTTTATTTGGGGACTGAAAATCAAACCTATGTCTTCCCAAAAGCTAGGCGGGTAGGTGTTTTTCTACCTAGCCCAACTAGGTTTTTTTTTCCCTTGGAAAGCCAGGGCCTTGTACATTTTAAGCATGCACTCCAGCATTGAGATACAGCTACAGCCCATTTAAACATCCTTTTGTTTGTTTGTTTTCTGAGACAGGGTTTCTCTTTTGTAGCCTTAGCCATCTTAGAAGTTGCTCTATAGACCAGGCTAGCCTCCAACTCAGGGATCTAAATTTGGACTTTTTTTATATCATCAGCTCCTGAATAATGACAGGCACTTTTTATTAATTATGAAAGTTTGACCTTAGCTTAGGCTTGTTCCCAACTAGCTCTTTTTGTTTGTTTTTTTTTTTTTTTTTTTTTTTTTTTCCGAGACAGGGTTTCTCTGTGCAACAGCCCTAGCTGTCCTGGAACTCGCTCTGTAGACCATGCTGGCCTCAAATTCAGGGATGTCTGATTCTGCCTCCAGAGTGCTGGGATCAAAGGCTTATGCCGCCGCCACCACCTGGTCCCAACTAGCTCTTAAAACTTAAATCAAGTCATTTATATTAATCTATATTTTGCTATGCTGCTCTTTACCTCTCAATAATTTATGTCTGTCTTCCCCTGAGCCTAGCTGACAAATCTTTAGTGCCTTATGTTCTTCCCGGAGTTCCTATCTCTGCCTGGGAGTCCCGCCTATCCTCTCCTGCCTACCTATTGGTCATTCAGTCCTTTATTAAACCAATCAATAGGTGCCCTCTGCAGATGGGATTTTTAAAAAAGACACATCTTCACACTGTGTGATCAAATATCCCACCAGGGATCTGCCTGCCTCTGCTTCCTGAGTGCTGGGATTAAAAGCCTAAAGCCTATGCTACCATAACTTTATATTTTTAGGTTTTTTTTTTTTTTTTTTGAGACAGGGTTTCTCTGTGTAACTTTAAAACCTTTTTATTTTTTTTTTTTTTTTGAGACAGGATCTTCCCAAATCTTGAAGAATTCTCAAATTTGCCTCAGCCTTCTGAGTGTCTGTGATTACATACCTGCATTACCAGGCTCCATTCCAGATGAGTTTGTTTTTCTTTTTTAATTTATTAGTTATTGTGTGTATGGGTGCTTTGCTTGTATGTCTGTGTACCATATACATGCAATGCGCATGCACTACTAGAGTGGGCCATGGCATCCATGTGCCCCCACACACAAATAAATAAATAATGCAAACATAAATAAATAATAAATAAAAGAGAACTGGTTGTGGTAGTGCACACCTTTAATCCCAGTGCTTGGGAGGCAGAGACAGGATGATGTCTGTGAGTTCAAGGCCAGCCTGGTCTACAGAATGAGTTTCAAGACAGGCTCCAAAGCTACAGAGAAACCCTGTCTCAACAAACAAAAACAAAAAACAAATAAAAAATGAATAAAAATAAAAGGAAATGTGGATGAGGGTTTTAACTTAAAATAATAAATAAATGCTTTCCTAGCATGCATGAGCCCTGTGTTCTAAGCCTAACACTTCCATAAAATGGGCATGGTAGCATTTCCCTGTTATCTCAGCACTCTAGAAGTACAGAGGATTGGAAATTTTAAGGTCATTCTTGGCTACAAGGAGTTGGAGGTCAGCCTGGGCTAGAAACTATCTCAGAACAACAAAACAAAAAATTACTGGGTTGGGTATGCACACTTGTAATCCCAGCACTCTCTAGGCAGAGGCAGTGAATCTCTGTAAATTCTAGACCAATGTGATGGTCTGCACAGTGAGTTCCAGTCCAGACAGAGTTATATACTGTGGACCCTAAAGGCCAGCAACAGTGGTGGTGCACAACTTTAATCCCAGTACCTGGGAGGCAGAGTCTGGAGGACCTCTGGAGTTCCAAGCCAGCCTAGTTAACAAAGTGAATTCCAGGACAGCTAGAGCTACACACAAAGAAACCCTGTCTGGATAAAACAAAACCAAACATACAAATAAAAATATGAAAAAGATAGCCTGTTTCCTTTATTGTTCCCTACGGTGTTTCCAGACAGTTTCTCTGTGTAACAGTCCTAGCTATGGAACTCACTGTGTAGACCGGGCTGGCTTCGAACTCAGAGGTCTACCTGCCTCTGCCTCCCCAGTGCTGGAATCAAAGGTGTGTGCCACCACTGCCTGGCTTAATTTTGTTTTCTATGAGGCAGGTCTCACTTTTCCAGATGGGCCCTGAACCCTGGGGATTTTCCTACTTCGGCCTCCCCAGTACCATGCCATCATATGTAACTAGTTGAGGTTGATTAGTTAAGGCAAGGCAATTGCTTCTTCCAGTGTCCCTTGAATTGCTGACAACAGGCAGTCTATAGTCTGTGGCACATCAGTCCTAAAAGACCTGGGTTCCAAACATGATTGACAAGCTTGCTATGCCATTCCTATACACTCTTGTTCTTTTTAAATTTTTTTTAAATTTATTTTTATTTTATGTGCATTGGTGTTTAGTCTATTTGTATGTTTCTATGAGGATGCCAGATCCCCTGGAACTGTTACAGACAGTTGAGAGCTGCCATGTGGGTGCTGGGAATTGAACCTGAGTCCTCTGAAGAGGACCAATGCTCTTAACCACAGACATCTCTCTAGTCCCTTGTTCGCTTTATACAATCAGAGGCTGGAGATAAAACTAGGGTCCCCTAAGCCCTTGGGGCCTCCCAGTACTCCTGGCTCTCCAGCTGTTCCAGCCCCTTCAGAGCAATATTCTCCAACCAGAAAACAAAAGAAGGGTTTCAAAGCGGCCACACCATGTGCCCTTCTGTCAAGTCCACCACCCAACACCACACCAGGACAAACTATTTTATTTTTCATTCGTAACAACACCCTCTGTGCACCCGGGAGGACTCTGGGTTAGTCTGTCTGGGGCAGGGTCTGTGAAAGGAGTCTCAGGGATGTTGTAGAGAAAACTCCTTCAGGGGATGTTGTCACCACCCTGCCAACTTCCTCATTGCCGCTTCTTCAAATCGAAAGGAGTGCCAGCCTTCCAGTTCAGTCAGGTCTTGAGCGTCTAGAGACTTGTACAAGTCCATGGCCTTCTTGTTCCAATCCAGAACTGCCAGGCGGAGCTGGGAGCACCCCTTATGCAGGGCAACCTATAGGAGAAGACACTACTCACTGCCCTGCACTCAAAAAGAAAGCCGATGGTGCCGCACTGCACCTTTAATCTTGGCACTCAAGAGGCAGACAAATCTGTGAGTTTGAGGACAGCCTGGTCTATACAGCAAGTTCCAGGCCAGCAGAGCCACACAGAGAAACTCAGTCTCGAAAAACCAAAAGAAAAAAAGGAAGAATTTTTCTCATCTCCTCATTCAGCCTGGGCACCACCATACATTCTTGGTGGGGTGCAGTTTGTTTGTTTGGCCAATTGGTTGGTTTCTGGTTTTGTTCTTCTTGGGAGGGGAGGGAGCTAGTTTTTAACCTCCACCCATTTGCTCACCTCAGCCACCTTTTTGATTATTTTGGTTCCAATCCCTTGACCTGTAGTGGAAAAAAGGGGACTATTATTTGAGTTGAGGCCAATCTGGACTGCAGACCCAGGAAAAACTCCACTCCCTGAAGACCCTATCAGGAATAAAGGAGAAAAAAGAAGGAACCATAGGCTGATATTAGGGGGCAGGAAAGGGGATGGGTCTGAGGATTGCTCAGTGGGTCTGTGGGTACTTTGTGTCTACCCCTAGGCTCTGCCCCGATATTAGTACCCCGGTATTGTGGCATCACATAGATGTCTTCCAAATAAATGTTGCGTCCCTTCCATGTGCTGTAGATGAAGTAGTAGAGCCCGAAGCCCACCACAAGGGGCCCTGAAAATGAAAGAAGGGTAAGGCCTCTGGGAGGAAAAACTGAGGATACCTGGAGGGTCCTTTACCTTGGAGCTCCCCAGGTGCTGGAATAACCTCTGCCACCAAACAGTGAAAGGAAGGGCTCTCTCCAAAGCCATCTGCTCTCAGAGCTGTAGAGATTGAAGTATGACAAAAGGGGCGGGCAGGCGGGGAGAGACAGAGAGACACTGGATTAATGGACAGTCCAGTAGCTACTCTAGGAATCCAACCTTTTCCTCCACCCCAGCCTCAGGACCCAGGTAAAAGCCTCACCTTCTTCACTGATCTTCACCTGATGGGACAGTTTCTCATACTCAGCCAGTTCCTACGACGGGAGGACAAGACCAGGGTAGGAAGGGCCTGCCGCCTTGAGAGCAGGGTCCAAAGTCCACCCCCTCCCCCTCCCACACACACACCATGTCTAACTCTCTCCCTCCCACTCACTGCTCCCAGCCCCATGGCACTCCATTTTCCAGCCCGCAGTCTTCACCCGTATCATCCTCAGAATGTCTCCACAATCTCTCTCCTTGGCCTCTCGGATCCGTGTAGAAGCCATCCAGATTCTCACTGTCAAAATCAAAGATCAAAGACAATCCCCACTTCCGTTCTCTAGGACCACAGAAAGGGTCTACAACTCAGGTCTCAAAGAGCTGGAAGTGAGGGACAGAAGAAATGCTAGGAGCTCCCAGTCAGGGTTCGAACACCAGCGGGTCTCCGCGGGGAGCATGGATCAGGCTGGTGGACTTTTCTGCTAGGAAAGGCCTTAAATTCTGCACCCCGCCCTCCAGCCAATCAGCTTCTAGTTAAGACGATTTCCCCACCCACCCCTGCCCCGCCTCGTCCCGTGACAAGGCAAGGAGCAGGGGTTAAAGCTTGGGAGGGTTCAGAACCAGTGTTATATATCCTAGGCTTAAAAGCCCACTCCTGCTTTAAGTTAAGTATGCGCCAGTTAAAGGCTTTAGTTTTCACTCTCAGTCGCCTAGCCACTGCGGTATCCCAGACCCTGCGTGAGCGTAAGAGCGTAAGACCCTTAGCCATTTTCCTGTCTTTAAGAGTGGAAGTCTTGTGCTCTGCCCCTTACAGCTCTTCCCTTCTTTGGTTCTGGGCACTAAATCCAGTACCTCTGGACGTGCTGAAGAAACCCTACCATTGCTTCCTATGGCTGTTGGGTGGCCAATAATGGCTTTTTTGTTTTGTTTTTTGTTGTTGTTTTGGTTTTTCAAGGCAGGGTTTCTCTGTATTGTTTTGGAGCCTGTCCTGGAACTCACTCTGTAGACCACGTTGGTCTCGAACTCACAGAGATCTGCCTGCCTCTGCCTCCTTTTTTTTTTTTTTTTGGTTTTTGAGAAATCTCTGCCTCCTAAGTACTGGGATTAAAGGCATGTGCCACCACAGCCCGGCTTAAAATTTATTTTATTTATTTTTTATTGTATATGCGTTGATTGGTGCTTTGCTTACGTGTATGTCTCTGTGAGGGTGTTAGGTCCCTAGAAGTGGAGTTTCATATAGTTATGAGTTGCCATGTGGGTGCTCAGGTGCTGAGAAGTCAACATGGGTCCTCTGGAAGAGCAGTCAGTGCTCTTGACCACTGAGTCATCTTTCTAGCCCCATGTCCTTTTTATTTTTGTCCCCCTGGACTGGAGAGATGGCTCAGTAGTTAAGAGAGAGCAATTACTGCTCTTCCAGAGGACCTGAGTTGGGTATTGGGTTCTTTTTATAACTTTCTTTTCTTTTTCCCAAGGCAGGTTCTAGCTATCCTAGAACTCACTCTGTAGCCCAGGCTGGCCTCAGACTCAAAGAGATGAGCCTACCTCTGCCTCCCAAGCACTGAGATTAAAGGCAGGCATGTGCCACTACGCCTGGCAGGCATAACTGTCTTTTTAATATATAATTATTAATTTAAAATGTTTATTTTATGTGTATGGGTAAGTGCCTGAATGTATATCAGTGAATCACTTACATGACCTACAGAGTGTGTTGGGTCCCTTGGACCTAGAGTTACAGTTGTTGTGAGTGGCCATATGAGTGATGAGAATTGAAGCTAGGTGCTCTGGAAGAGCAGCCAATGCTTTTAACCTCTGAGACATCTCTCTAGTGCTGCCTCCACCCCCCACCCCCAATTTTCTTTTCATTTCTTCTCTTTTAAGACAGGGCTATGTAGCCTTGGTTGGCCTAGAACTTGCCATGTAGATGAGGCTGACTCTCAACTCACAGAGGTTCACCTATGCCCAGCTAGAAATATTTATTGCTTTTTCCTCCTTCCTTATTTTAAACATTTGTTTAGTATGTATATGTGTGTGTGTATAACTGACACCTGTAAGTGTGTGTGTGTGCAAGTGTGTGTGTGTGCAAGTGTGTGTGTGTGCAAGTGTGTGCAAGTGTGTGTGTGCAAGTGTGTGTGTGCAAGTGTGTGTGCAAGTGTGTGTGCAAGTGTGTGTGTGTGCATGTGTGTGTGTGCAAGTGTGTGTGTGTGTGTGCATGTGTGTGTGTGCAAGTGTGTGTGTGTGTGTGTGTGTGTGTGTGTGTGTAGCCCAGAAGACAACTTTGTGGATCCTGTGGCACAAACTCACTCCATCAGGCTTGGCAGTAGTTACTCTTACCCACTGAGCCATCCATACTCCCACCACTTTTTAGAATAGTCTTTCTGAGCCAGGCAATGGTGGCACATGCTTTTAATCCCAGTACTTGGAAGGCAGAAGGAGGTGGATCTCTGAGTTTGAGGCCAACCTGGTCTACAAAGTAAGTTCCAGGACAGCCAGGGATATTGCACAAAGAAACCCTGTCTCAAAACAAAACAAAACAAAAAACAAAAAAGAACAGTCTTTCTGTAGTCCAAACTAGCTTTGAACTCATGTGCTTGAGTTATAGGCAGATTTCTTCTCAGTATCCATGGAAGCGCATAAGAGATGATACCTTCTTGCAAGAGCAGCATTCTAGACCTGGCAAAGCTAGGGGAGGCGTCCTATCAGATGCTGGGCACAAGCCTGCATTGTTTCCACCTCCAGTCACAGCAATTCCACACAGATTGGTCCTCCTTTGACAAAGTCACTGAAACACAAAGGTGAAGTGTGTCTCCCAAGGTCAGATAGCAAGAGATCCACGCCTCAGCTTTAACCCTAGTACGGGATGCTAGTTAGACAGCGAGAACTGCCTCCAGATCTCAAGTTGGCCTAGGCAGCCTCCCCTTGTGGGAGGCATGCCCAAAGGAGTCACACTGGACGACAGAGGAGGATAAGAGATGAGATGCTTTCTCATAGAGTTCTTGGCTGCAGGGGACAGTCGTGGAGAGACTCTGTCCCTCACCTCATTTGCCTTCAGAGGGGCCACGCGGTCAGTGTCCCTGTCTCCTGGCCCCCCTTCTTCCCCCGGAGCAACCTTTAACCCTCCACCACCCATGCACGGCTACCTACCCCCACACGTTCTCCTCAGATTGAGCCACAGAGTGGAGAGCTGCTAACCATGGAGAACCGAGACTCTGTGACCTCCTTGCTACTTCTGCTCTTGCTGCTGCCGCCACCTCACACCCACCAGGGACAGGCCCTGAGACACATTGTCCCTACACAGGTGCAGAATGGGATAGCGTTCTCAGCCCGTGTGTGTTTAAATGAGCTGCATTTCAGCTCTGTTTTCCCCTTCTCCCCTCCTCTGACCCTGTAGCTGTAACTTTCTTTCTGTCTCTGAAATGTCTTTGGGCAGCTTGGTTTTTTTTTTTTTCTTTCTTTTGTTTTAGATTTATTTGTTTCATGTGCACTAGTGTTTTGCCTGCATGTATGTCTGTCTGTATAAGGGTGTCAGATTGCATGGAACTGGAGTTGTAGGTAGTTGGGAGCTGTCATGTGGATGCTTGGAATTGAACCTGGGTCATTCAGAAGAGCAGCCAGTGCTCTTAGCCTCTGAGCCAACTCTCCAGCCCCCGGCTTATTTTCTTTTTCTGACAGAATGCTCAGGATTCTCCAGCTAGGTACCTCAGCAATGGCCCAGGACAAGAGCCTGTCGCTGTTATGACCATTGACTTCACCCAAATGAGCAAGTATGGGAGTTACTTGCCTCTTTTTTCTTAATTTATTTTTATGTGCGTTGATGCTTATCCTGTCTGCATGTCTGTGTGAGGCTGTCAGATCCCCTGGAACTGGAGTTACAGACAGCTGTGAGCTGTCATGTGGTTGCTGAGAATTGAACCTGGGTCCCCTGGAAGAGCAGCCAGTGCTCTTAACTGCTGAGCCACCTCTCCAGCCCTGTCACTTGGCCTCTTGACCCAGCCCTCTGATCTCCCCTTTCCCTATATCTGTCCTTCCCCTTTCCCTATTATCTCCCGGAGTTCCTCTTCCCCCAATCCTAAAACCCCACACACCCCCATATACAGTCTCTCCTTCCATGTCCTTCTAGACCCTATTCCTCCTTTGAGTTTCGAACCTTGGATCCAGAGGGAGTGATTTTTTATGGGGACACCAACACCAAAGATGATTGGTTCATGCTGGGACTTCGGGATGGCCAGCTTGAAATCCAGCTGCACAATCTATGGGCTCAGCTTACAGTAGGCGTTGGCCCTCGGCTGAATGATGGGAGATGGCACCAGGTAAGAGATGGCACCTCTGCCTCTTCGAGGAGAGCTCACCTTGACCTGACGAGGAAGGAAAGCAGGAGCATCCCTTAGCGATACACAGTCTCTGTGAAGTAGCTATTCTTGTCCCTGTTTCGTCAGATGGGAATTCCAAGGCTGAGTCAGTGTGTAAGTGACTGAGTGAGCCAGAGATGTGTCTCCAAGTGCATCCTCTGTCAGCTGTACTAGGCTGCCTCTGAAGAAAGTGGAGGCGACAGGCTCAGGGCCCTCTGCTGCAGCTTCTTTGTGCTTCTGACCACCTCCTGTAGGTGGAGCTGAAGATGAGTGGGGACTCACTGCAGCTGTGGGTGGATGGGAAGGAGCTCCTGTGCCTGAGACAAATCTCTGGAACCCTGGCTGACAATCCCTGGCCCAGCATGAGGATTGCCCTAGGGGGACTCCTCCTCCCTACCTCCAGTCTTCGGTTCCCGGTAACTACATCCTAGGGCTGAGCTATGGAAACCTAAGTTCTTCTAAGGGAATATGCAAGTGGTTAGGATTCAGATGCCCTGATTCCACCATCCCAACATTTTCCCTCCCTTCCACTCCCACCCACTTCAGCTGGTTCCTGCCCTGGATGGCTGTGTACGTCGAGATATCTGGCTGGGCCACCAGGTTCAGCTCTCACCCTCTGCCCCTACTAACCTTGGAAATTGTGATGTGGACTTGCAACCTGGACTGTTCTTCCCTCCAGGAACCTATGCAGAATTCAGTCTCCAAGGTAGACTTTTTAAACCTCTCTTTCCCCTCCATGTCCCAGTCCTGCCTTCTGCTGTCTCTCTTTAACACTGCTCATCTCTCCATAAAACCCAAGTCTTAAGGCCTAGAAGAATTACTTCTCTCCCCCCAGACATTCCCCAGCCTCACACGGACCCCTGGAGCTTTTCTCTGGAACTGGGATTGAAGCTGGTGGACGGCTCAGGATGCCTCCTTGCTCTTGGGACAAGAACAAATTCTTCTTGGCTCACCCTTCACCTCCAAGATCAAGTAAAGGAAGAGGGTGGGATGTTGGCTATATTTAGTGGATTCTGGGAGAAATGAGGCAAAGGGGGGCTTTTAATAGTGGAAAGGCTTGAGTGGGCACTCAGATCACAGTGGAGAGCCAGAGAAATATCCCAGAATGCAAACT